GACTAGGGACTCAGGCAACAGTTTACAATGGCTTACCCCACAGCTTGTTCAGTACTATGAAAGATTTTGTCATAGCAGTTGAATGTAGAACTATTTAAAAAATCCATTTCAAAGAGCAAATGCTATTATCCAGAAGTATTTGGAAAGGACCTCTACATAAAATAGTGTTTCCTAATGTTTTAATATTTCAAAGATATATAAAAAATAGATTTGACTTCATAGAATCCTAGCCTACTTGTCAGGCTATACATGACGTTTCTCAATTTTTTTAAAAGGCATGACCCTTTGTGATAAACATGACAGCCCCCACTGTATTAGTCCATTTTGTGTTGCTATAATAATACCAGAAACTGGGTGATTTATAAAGAAAATGAAATTTATTGCTTACAGTTTCTGACGCTGGAAAGTCCAAAGTCCATCTGGTGGTGGTGACAGTGACCAAGGAGTCTCACATTGCAAGATGGTGGAAGCAGAGAGAGCAGAGAGTGAGAGAGAAACACAGACTCTCTTCTTTTAAAGCCCTCAGAACCATGCCCCTGATCACCATTTTTAATCCATTCACTATGGCATCGTCCTGCAAATCCAATCACCTCTTCAAGGATCCACCTTCCAATTACCATAATAGGATTTCCCACCTTTTTAACAGTCACAGTGGGGGCCAAGTTTCTAATATATAAAACTTGGGGAACACAATTCAAGCTCCAGTGAGCTCTGGGGGGACATAATTCAATCCACTAAATCTGACCCAGCCTGCTCTCCTCGGCAGAGAATCCAAGTCTATAAACGACTTACTAAGCATCCATTGGACCAAAAGAATTGTAGCACTTTTCTTAAATGGCGCCTCTCTAATTACACACACACACACACACACACACACACACACACACACACACACACACACACTAAGGCTACAGATCAGTTTATATTAGTAAAAAATAATGGGCCTTCCTATAAAATTGTATTTCAGAAACCATAAACAATGACTTTTCCGAAATTAAAATATAAAATGTCATGAGCTGTGGATATGCAGAGGCAAGGCTATTATTGTAAATACCTGACTCTGTACTTCACAATAAACTGCAAAATCTTAACACAGTAATTACAGGAGATTAAATTTAAAGCCCCACGCATTTTTCCGTATTCCGTAAACTCACCTCCCTCCTGTCCAACAAGATTATCTTCTCCCAAAGTATTCTCAATAGCTGGCACACAACAAGTTCAAAAACCAAGCAAACAATAAAACAAAAAGCAAAGAAAACACCACCTGGGGCAGCTAAAGTTCAGGTACACTTAGGCATGCCTAATAAAGTACTTTATTCAAATAAACTAAGTCTTAGAGTGCTTTAAATGAAACATATTTAAATAACTCTTTTATTAGATTAGTAGATGAGGATTAATTTTTAAAGAAACATCCTATCGTTAACAAAAGCCTAATTTGCCAGGAGACCTCAGATATTTTTCTGTCTACAGAGGAGAGCTTCACTCCCCGAAGCATTTGCGTGGGGATTGGGGACACAGCTCTACAGGGACACAACGAGTCCCACTCCCCCACAGGCTCATCTGAAAAGCAGTTTGGGTTAGGGTTAGGCAAGCCCCTGAAGACAGCTGCCAGCGCAGGCCCCTCACGCCCGCCCCGCCCGCTCGAAGGCCAGGAGGACCGCGCAGCCCACGTGCGCTCCCACACGTAGGCGGGAGCTGGCAGCAGTCGCGCCGCGGAGCACACGCAGCTGCGTGGCGCTGGCCCAGTCCGGGGGCCGAGGGGCCGAGGGGCCGAGGGGACAGGGCAGCCCACGTGCGCTCCCACACGTAGGCGGGAGCTGGCAGCAGTCGCGCCGCGGAGCACACGCAGCTGCGTGGCGCTGGCCCAGTCCGGGGGCCGAGGGGCCGAGGGGCCGAGGGGCCAGGGACGAGGCTGAGGCTGCGGTGCTGCGCCCGAGCACGTACTGGGGCGGGGCCTGCAGCGCAAGGGGCGAGGCTTGGGGAAGTTTCTCGGTGTGGCTCGTGTTTCTCATGTTTTTCATGTGGTACCAGCGGTTCCGGGAGCAGGAGTGCCGGGTCCCTTCCTTATGGTGGGCATTTTACCCGCTTAAGTGTCTGATCACTGCCGCTCTCAGGCACCTGTCTTTACTTTCCGTTCCGGAATGGAGCCAAGATAGGGGCATAAAGGAAATTAAATAGTGCGCGGAGATCGGGTGTCTGGGCAGCGCCTGGGATAAAACCGTCCACTACAGGTAAGAATAGAAATCATGTCCAAACCTTTGAAAGGTGTGAACACAACAAAGCTCCAGGGGGCGTTCATGGGAAGGTTTGTGATAAAGTATAGCTTTTATCTTACAGGGAGAGTATTTCGTATCAAATTCTACAGATTGCAGTAATTCTGTATAAAATCTCAGACAACAGGTTCAGCGCTATTTAAAGGGATGAAATATGTGCAAAGAGATTAGGGGCAGACTTTAACACCCGAGTTAAAGTTTTTTTCTTTACATTTTTGTTGGTTCCAGCTAGCAACATGTTTGCAAAGGTTTTATTTAACCGAATCCTAATGTTTTTTTTTTTTTAAAGAGAGAAAAAGAAAAGATTCCATATTCTTTGTAACATGTTTTTGACATTGCTACATTAAAATTTTTAGAATGTTTAAGTTTCTGCAAAGCTAGTTATTTTCAGTTCATCTTTTATGTATTTTAGAGGTTTGTAGGGGGAAATCAAGATTTGGAATGGTAATTGTAAGGTTATAAAAACTTAAAATAAACATGTCTGTTATGCCATTAAGTCACACACACCATACATGCTTTCCCATACTTGTTTACTGAGTTGTCTTCATAACAAGAGATCTGAATATCTAGTTCAAATTCATAACCCACTAAATAGCACTTCAAAACATTTTTAAATTCATTTCTATGTATGTCCTGCCACTCCTCTTAGGAACCCCCCTCAATGTCCTGTGTGATCTCATTTCAGCTGACACTGGACCCTCAGTTTTCCACACCCTTATTGCTTTCTCCTGTTTACTATTTAAACAGCTAACAATGGAGTATAGGGTATGTTCTACTGGACTGGCTAGCACTGCAGGGTGGTTAGCACCATGGGCTTTGAAGTCACTGATGGCTAGCTCAAAAGCTCTGAACCTTAGACCAGTTTCATTTACAAAAACCCATAGTGGATTTTTGAAGATTGTGAGATAACATATGCTAAATGCCAAGCAGAGTCTAGCAAATAGTACTCAACAGATGTTAGCATTGTACCTAGCAGCAGTTAGGCACCCTGGGTAACTATTGTCAGTTCTAAGCTTAATGGGAGGCTTAGAACAAATGATCAAAATGTGCCAAACTCCTTTGCCATACTTTCTTCAGGGTGTGAAAGTAATACTATTGTCATTCATTCACAGCAGCACCAGCGAAAGGAAGAGTATAGGCATACATGGGGAGGGAGAATGATGAGAGAACAGCTATTATAGAAATACAGTTGCTAGGGTAGGGTAATACTCATTGGATAAAGTATTATAAAGAAACTTGGTAGGAAAGGGGGGAAAATCTTGTGATGGTGGATGGTGCATAATGCTGGGAAGGAAGGGTGGGTTCTACCGCTTTGAAGCTTAAAGCACTCCAAGTGGCTTGTTTTCTGAATGACTGGGTACTTGTTTTCTTCCCACTCTGTCCTCTTTTTTACTTTAAATTTTTTATTGTAACATAGTTGATTGTACTTATCTGGGGGTACAGAGCGGAACATCAACATGTGCAACATGTGATGCTCAAATCAGGATAATTAGTATATTCAACAATTTACAACATAATCGTTTTTCATGGCCCGTTACCAACTCTGTCCTTTAACGTGGCTTTCCCTTCTAAATCATTGCTCTGAGAAGTCATTTCCGGACTCCTGCCCATTACATAACCTGCTCACTTATTCATATTTGAAAACTATACATAAACTTCTAGTTTTCAACTGAAGCTAATTTGCTAAATAAGCATCATTTTTGATTTTGCAACTTGGGAATATTAAGGAACTACTTTATTCTAAAATACCACCTCTAGTACTATCCGTAACTAACTATAGAAGCACCTTGGGTCATAGTATTTGTGGTGAAGTATACTTGTGCCCCCAGAATTTTGGGCTGATTCTTAGTATTGTGAACTTCTGTTCTGAAATTCTCATGTAATGGCAGTCACACATTCTTCATTTTAAGATAAAAACAGCCACCTAAGAAATCTGTGGCTTAGCTCATTTTGTTCAAGATATACACCTCAGGCTACAGGACCTAAGGCTCTGGCACTGCCTATATAATTTGTCCATAAAAATAATTTTCTGTTACCTCTAGGTGCAGTGATTCACAGTGATTTTTTTCTGTTTATTTTAATATCTTTCTATACTGTTTGATTTTTAAAAACAAGAATGTATTTCTTTTTCAGTCATAAAAGAAATACAGCTATTTCATAAAAGAAAAATACATGAGAGGAAAAAATAAAGCTATTAAAAAAAATTTTTTTAAGTATTTAAGCATGGTAAACAAAAACAAACCAAAGTTTGCTCTTAGTTTGACATTAGAGTCATAAGATCTAAGTTTAAATCTTTGGTCTGCCATTTATTATCTTTTAGGGCTTCAGCAAATCGTTCATCATTTGAGGTCTAAATTCATCTATCAATGGAAATCCATTAGAAATCTTTAGAGAAAACTTTATCCCTTACAACATTATGTGACTATATATAACGTTCACAATTTCCTTCACTCATCTCATGCATACAAATATATTTAAATTTTGTGTTTTGTACTTTAATAGGCTCATAAATTTATAAATGACAAGTTTCTTTTCTAAAAACGTTCTTTACAATGGAATATTATCATTTGTAAACATCACATTTAAGGACATGGCAATAAGACAAATGCAGAAATAATCAGTACCAATGTCATTTTTATAAAGTATCAAAATTGTTGGCAAACAATTTTATGAATTGGAGGTGTCGAAGCAAACATTGTTTCAACATAAAAGCTGATCAAAGGGGGGCCTGGTCCACAGAAGATGTTTATTTGATGTAACAAAACAATACAGTTAGTGTTAGATCCAACCACAAAGAGCAAAAGGAATGAAAAATTTGTACAATGTACATAGAAAAACAAGATGTTTACAGTGACAGCTATATATTCCTAAAATAATGCTTCTAAAATTACTCAATTATTGAAATCTATATGAAAAAAGAAGGATGTTAATAGCGACAAAGTGCATAAAACCAAATATATTTTGAGCAAATTAACATACTAGGCAATTTTGCTAACAATGCATAATTTTTTTTCTTTTTTACAGTCTGCTCAAAGTATCTTTATACCAAAAGGGTAGGCAGATCATTTAGGTTTAATATCAATTACACAATATTAGCATAAACTTCCACAACTACATAGGGTATTGTTTTCTTTTGAGCTGGCAAAGTGACTACAGAAACATCAGATGATTTCTCTGAACTGAGAATTTTATCCAAATAAATGCCACCTACCTTCCAGATATATGCATATCTTTCTATATCATGTAAATGGCTTTACCCATTTAAATAAACCATACAGCATTTAAGAATCATTATTATATGATTAACAATGTCACGTTCCAGGTTTAACAATTTCATAGGCCAAAAAAAATTTCTTCTTAAAAACTAGTTTTATAAATGCAGAATATATTGCATGAGTAACTGCTGGTATTTTTTAAGAAAATATATTGTGCAATTGTGGCTACCATGTTACTGCTGGCAAAGCATTATTGTTTATTTAAAATGTGAAAAAAAAAACCAAGTAAAAATTTTTCAACTGCCTATGATCATGATGAAAGGTTACTGCCTTTAAAAAATTATATTGGCATCTTATTAAAAATAATTCAATAAGGGACAAACTCCCTAGCCAAAAATAAATAAATAAAAAGGTGCATTTTTAAAAATGATGCTACTGCAATGTAATGGTTTAAATACCAAAGAATTACGAAAATGAGCTGTCTATGATCTGGCATTAAAGAACATACTAAAAAAGAGCATTAAAGTAAATTAAGTAGAAAGGGGATCAAAATTAAACTAACCAAGTTTGTGCAGTATTGTAGCCAGGCTTCTAAAATTAGATATAGAAAATATAAATAGACTGCTTTAGGTAATGAGCCACCAGTGTCCAAAAAAAGGAATGAGATTATGAAAAGCTCAGTTAACTTGATCCAAAGCTCTGAGTAATTCTTCACCCTGCAGTAGGTTTCTGCTGCCTTGTATAGGAGCATTAACTTCACAATCATAACTGGTCAGCTGTGGTAATCCACTCTCATCCATTGATTGCCCCAGCAGTCTACATGCTAAATCTGAAAAACAAAGAGATACCTAAGTATATTCATTTATCTAGTTGAATATTTAGTAAACACCCACTGTGTACTAGGTATTGGGGAAAATAAAGCAAATAACTACTGGAAGTGCTTTTAGTCTACTGGGAAAAACCACAGTTATGCAAACAAGTAAGTGCAATCAGGTGTTATTAGTGCTATGTCAGAAGTGTTTAGAACATACAGTGAAGGCACCAACTTTCTTCTTCTATCAATGCTGATTGCAGATATATATATATCAAGGAGAATTACTAAAAAATGACAGTTCCATCTTGAAATATCTATCCCTGCATGATGGCCATTAGATGAAATGCTACTTTGCTTTTTAATCTTGCTAAGGAACCAAAATCACTTTCACTTGGAGTAAAGCTCCTAGATAAAAAGGTTTCACATATTTTAACTTTTTTTTTTTTTTTTTTTTGGCAGCTGGCCAGTAAGGGGATCCAAACCCTTGACCGCAGTGTTATTACACCATTCTCTAACCAACTGAGCTAACAGACCAGCCCGAAAGTTTCACATACTTTAGTTGTCATGATGTTCAAGGGCAGAAAGAATAAACTAACCAGAGGGTATTAATATAATTGTCTTTTGCTCCATTCCACTCTGTTCACTAGATTTGCATCCTTTTACACGTTTCCAAGAAAGTGATGTAGTAGGTGTACGATCATCTGGCTGCTGTAATAATGTTCCCTAAAAACAGTAATTTCAAGTTTAGTATGTCAAATTTTTTTTTACAGTCAAAAACTTTGAAATCAGTGTAAGTTTAATAACATACAGGCAGGTTTCTTAAATACTGCCCTAAACTATTTTTAATTCTTTCTCTTAATAATATTATGATAAAGTCATCTGCCATCCAGTATGGCTAATGTGTCTATAAATACTTTCCAGTTAATATGTTCTGAAAATATCAGTACGGATTATACCAGTATTGACTTACCCCATAACATAGTAGTCCCATTAATAAGAGAAAGTAACTTAAAGGGAAGAGAATGAGACTGGTGGTGATAATGAGGGTGGAGTAAGGGGAGAACTTCATTTCTTACTCATAATACATCTGAATTGTTTGAAATTTTTACACCAAGAATGTATACATTAAATTTTTGTATTTTTAAATAACAATGTGTACAAAGTAAAAAAAAATCCAAGGTATGGTTTCTGAAAATATAACTTTAGTATTTGGAAGAAACAAGGAATTACCTATGTATTTAACTCGGAAATAGCACATTAGCTAGAATAGAAAAGCAAACATATTACTCTCACATTTACAATTCCTACTGCTTGAAAAAGCGAACCATCATGTTCCATTTTTCGCTTTCTCTGAGCATTCTGCAAAGCTAGTATCTTTGGATTTAGTTCTTCCTCAGGAACGGTAGTTCTGGAAAAGAAAAAAACTTTCTAAATAAAAATAGTTGTTTTATTGTTTTTTTTTTTAAAAAAAAAATCCAATGAGCTCCTTTAAACAAAATACATAATGCCTTAGTTTTCCAATATTAAAGAATGTAATGTTATACGTAAGAGAACTTCCCTAATTACTAAAATTTATCACCTTAAAAGCTAAAACTCAACTTTTTAAAACTGAAAAATTTCTGAACTATGTATATCCCTATTTTATTTTATTTTATTTTATTTTATTTTTTATTTTTTTTTGTCTTTTGTCTTTTTTTCCGTGTCCGGCAACGGATCACAACCCTCAGTGTTGCCCCCGTACCGGACCGGGGACCGGCAACGGGATCGCAAGCCTCGGTGTTGCTCCCGCGCCTCGCTCAGCCAGTGAGCGGGAACCGGTCTGTATGTGGGATCCGAACCCTCGGCGGGAGCGCCAACGCGCTCCCAAGCGGTGCACTGTAGCAGTGCGCCACCGGGCCGGCCCCTTAGTAGTAGTACTTTTTTTTTTTCCCCCCTTTTTTTTGTCTTTTTTCGTGTCCGGCAACGGATCGCAACCCTCAGTGTCGCGCTCGGACCGGGACCGGCAACGGGATCGCAACCCTCGGTGCTGCGCCCGCACCTCGCTCAGCCAGTGAGTGGGAACCGGTCTGTATGTGGGATCCGAACCCTCGGCGGGAGCGCCAACGCGCTCCCAAGCGGTGCACTGTAGCAGTGCGCCACCAGGCCGGCCCCTTAGTAGTAGTACTTTTAATAGTTCATTTTTAAACCTTCTTATAAAGCTGTTAAGTATTCTCGTTTAGTATAGCACTGTGATTTTGCAAATAATTACCTAGAAAGGTGGAGGAAAAAAGCCTCTATGTATTTTTGAAAGTTCATCTCTTAAAATGATTTAGTGCATTCTGTATTCTAACTAATGTTTAAAAAATGCTAAAGTGACTTCATGTTAGACTTTGGTTTATACAAATACAAGGAGACAGTTGCTCAGAAAACTGAATATCTTATCCTCTGCAGCTAATAATAGTAAACTATAAATTAGAGGTCATTGTCATTTATATTACTATATTCATTCATCTATCACTCTATTTATTGAGGAAGTACTACACGTTTGGTACTGAGCTAAGTATTAGTATCACTAAAATGCCCAAGACACTGTCATTGCCTTAGTGGAGTTCAATCATTGTCATTTATATTACTATATTCATTCATCTATCACTCTATTTATTGAGGAAGTACTACACGTTTGGTGCTGAGCTAAGTATTAGTATCACTAAAATGCCCAAGACACTGTCATTGCCTTAGTGGAGTTCAGAGTCTAAAGTCAGTTGGTGACACAGTAATTTATAAAGTAACATTAAGTATTTCTGAGTTCATCTGAAGTCCCAAGAACTTCTCCTAGCTCAGGGAAAAGGCCTCTCCCACACTCTAGGTCAAGGTAGTGAATGAAGCAGGGCAGGGAAAAAGAGCCATATACTCTGGCTATGGCAGTGATTATTTCCTACTGCTACTGATATCTGTCTTGGTCTAGGCACAGCAGAGAAGGAATCATCTCTGTCCTCCACACACTGATGAGCTAAAACTTCTTTATTTTTGCTGGAGCCTCAAATTTAAAACATATCAAATCCCATTACAAATTATACACAGAAACTATAACTTAAAAATTGGGTCATGTCCAGATGTTTGCTCAAACTAGCTCCATAGAAGCAATGTTATAAATCATGCTTAGATTCCTGGTATAGACCTCAAAAACCTATTTAACCTATCTGTAATACAGCTAATATACTACAGATATGTAATGAAAAATGAAAGCTATTTTAATACAAGTAACCATACATAACAAAATTTTAAAAGAAGGCTTATAAATATATACATTGAACATTGAGGACTGAAGACCGTCAGGGTTAATTTGGAATGGAAAATTGGAAATAACCCCTAAGTTGGAAGGTCTTTTGTATCAGGTAAGCTTAAAAAGAACTCCAAGAGATGGAAGCATCTAAGTAGTAAACAACTACGAGAACTATGCCTGGGCCAATTCTTATACATTTACAGAACTTATTGGCTTGATTTTAAGCCTCCAGCACTTAAATAGGTGATACAATTATTTTAGAGGAAATAAATATAAAAGCAAATTTAGAAATAGTTTGAGTGCTTGTTTTTAGTTCAGAATTTGTATGCCAATTTTATGTTCCTTAAAGCATACAGATCAGAAAGTTTGCTGCATATTTAGAAATCATTTATCATCATACACATTTTCTGAAAAATAATAAAAGATAATGTTACATATAAATACCTTTGACTCAAAGTGACAGATAAAAGATTCGGACTTCTTGGATGAGGTTTTTCTGTTTGTTCTATGACTTCTTTTCCTGCTCTGTTTGGTGAGGCTGTCCGACTTTGAGTATCATTATATGATGTTGTGGCACTAGTAATTTCTTTATGTACGTGGGTAGGAGATGGAGATGCAATCAATATTTTAATGTCTTCCATACCATCTTTTGTCACTGTTTTTAATTCATCAGTGGTGGCAGTGGTAGTGGTGGCGTTAATAGTGGGTTCTTGCATCTGGGTCTGCTGGAATACTGTCATTGTGCTCACACTTTGAGAGCTTGCAGAACTGCTTTCTAATGGCGACAGCTGATCAAAGGAACGTAACTGGAAGTCATCATCCATTGGGATATAGGGTGCTAACATCTCCAAGTCTAAATCAGTGTCCTTTAAAACAATAAATACATGAGTTTTTATAATGGCCACTTTGCAAAAGAAAAACAACTTAAACCTAAAGTCACTTCAGACTAAAAATTAATAAAATTTAATATGAAAGTTAACATACCTGAGTGGAAAATGGATTCTTCGCTTCTGTGTCTTCAGCAAAAAGTTTTTCTACCAATTCCAACTTGAATTCATTGACCATATCACTATCCACATAGAAACAATATTCACTGGGACTGTTAGGCTATAAAAGAAATTGAATATGTTAACTTTTCCCTGAAGAGGCCTACATATGTTTTGCTAGTTGTTAGAATTTTCAGACCAGATCTCAGAAAACACATAAAAAAGCCCACCTTGTTTGTCAGACTTTAACTAGTGAGACATTTTTGAGCTTATGCTTATAACTAATTTTGCCAGTATACATATTTTGGACTATGTAATTTAACATCATTTATAAAATTAAGATGAAAAGATGCACTTATCTGTTTATTCTAAAGAATAAAACTTACCTAATAATTCAGGTCTCAAGGTGGTACCTAATTGTCCAATTAACTAGATAATACATATTTTCAGGAATCTACCTTTGTACTGAAAGGGCACACTCCTGTGGTAATCTACCTAAAAATCTCAGAGCTACAGAGGGTTGGGGGATGTGTGTTCAGTGACTTAAATTCTTTCACCTGCATACACTTTAATGGGTGTACTACTATTTTAGAGGTTCTGGGCAAGAATTCTAACCAAAAAACTATAGCTATGTATTCTAAGTATAAAATTCTACTTCCCTCATTCTAACATTTTTGTTAGATTACAAACAAAATGAATCAAATATTTTTGTGTTAGGCAAACCAAGCAACCAGAGCATAGGATATATACTCTAGAAGCTTATGAGATGTCAAATCTCCTACTGTCAGCTTGCCAGTTTTAATAAATATTTAATGTAAAATTATTTACATTATTAGTTAATTATTAAGGCTTATTTGTGCCTCATTTATCAAGTTATACTGTTTAGATCTCAGTTGCCCTACTTCTAAACATATTTTTAGTGTAGGAAGCTTTGAAATTGAGTCATTCTAGATTTAGAAATAGAGCCCTATGTGATGTCTCTAGTCTTGGTCCAGCCTAGCCTATAAGGACAGATCTAGAATAAGAAAGACCAGGGCCGGCCCGGTGGCGCACTGGATAGTGCGCCGCTTGGGAAGCGCGGCGGCGCTCCCGTCCGAGGGTTCGGATCCCATATAGAGACCAGTCCGCTCACTGGTTGAGC